TCACTGCGAAGCAGGACGAAACAGGCCCAGGAGGCGAATAGTTTAAAAAATGTTTGAAGAGGTATCATCCCAATTCACGTTTGCTGAAAGGGAAAAACAGATATTAGAGTTCTGGCGTGAAAACGACATCTTTCAGAAGAGTATGGAGATGTACAAAGACGCGCCGTCGTTTGTTTTTCTCGAAGGACCCCCGTTTGCGAATGCACCGCCCGGTGTACATCACGTCCTCGCACGTATCATGAAAGATGCCGTCTGCCGTTACAAGACGATGACAGGGACATTACGTCCACCGCAAAGCAGGCTGGGACACGCACGGACTTCCTGTCGAATATCAGGTCGAAAAGCAACTCAATATTACAAACAAAGCGGAACTGGAGGCTTACGGCGTTCAGAACTTCATCGAAAAATGTAAGGAGAACGTCTTCCAATACGAGCAGGATTGGCGGCAGATGACAGAACGCATCGGATTCTGGGTCAATCTCGATGAAGCCTATATCACGTTGTCGAACGATTACATTGAAAGCGTCTGGTGGGTCCTCCGACAAGCGTGGGAGAAAGAACTCCTGTATCAGGGACATAAGGTGCAACCGTATTGCTATCGGTGCGGCACAACCTTAGCGAGCCACGAAGTCGCACTCGGTTACCAAGAGGTCGCCGATCCGTCTATCTTTGTTCGCTTCCCGCTGAAAAACCGGGAGAATACCTACCTACTCGTTTGGACGACGACCCCGTGGACGTTACCTTCTAACGTCGCTGTCGCTGTCGGTGAAGATTACGATTACGTTTCCGTTGAAGAAGAAAACGGACAGCACCTCATTCTCGCAAAAGAGTGTATACCCAGTTTATTCGGAGATGAAGCCCCGCAAATCGTCGAAAATTATAAAGGCAGCGACCTCCAAGAATGGGAATACGAACCCTTGTTTGATGGCGGACAGCATCCCGAAAGATCCCACTACATCGTCACAGGTGATTTTGTAACGACGACAGAGGGGAGTGGCTTAGTTCATATTGCTCCCGCTTTCGGACAGGATGACTATGACATCGGGCAGAAATACGGTCTGCCGCTCGTGCAATTGGTGGGTCCCGACGGTAGATTTGTCCCAGAAGTTAAAGACGCATGGGCGGGTGAATACGTCAAAGACGCCGATCCGAAAATCATCGAAAACTTGGACGGACGTGGGCTGTTATTTAAGGCAACCGAGTATACGCACCAATACCCGTTCTGTTGGCGGTGTGATACCCCGTTGCTCTATTATGCCCGCGAATCGTGGTTTATCCGGACGACCGCCATCCGAGATCGGATGCATCAGCACAATCAGCAAATCAACTGGTATCCCGAGCATATCAAAGACGGACGTTTCGGCAATTGGTTGGAAAACAATATCGACTGGGGATTGAGTCGTGAACGTTATTGGGGCACCCCCTTGCCGATCTGGGTATGTGACGACTGCGGGCATCAGCACTGTATCGGCAGTATCGCCGAATTGCAGGAACTCGGTACCGATGTGCCAGATGATATTGAACTCCACCGTCCTTATGTAGACGACGTTGCCCTCGCGTGCGAAAAATGCGGTGGCACGATGCATCGCGTGCAAGATGTCATTGATTGCTGGTTTGATTCCGGTTGTGCGCACACGGCGCAGTGGCACTACCCTTTTGAGAACAAGGAGATGCTGGAGCAGGCGTATCCCGCCGATTTCATCTGCGAAGCCATTGATCAGACCCGTGGATGGTTCTATAGTCTCTTAGCAACCGGCACACTCCTCTATGACAAACCCGCCTACAAAAACTGCCTCTGTCTTGAACTAATTATGGGACCCGACGGCCAAAAGATGAGTAAGAGTCGAGGCAACACAGTGGATCCGTGGACAATTCTGAACGGACAAGGCGCAGATGCGATGCGCTGGTATATGTTCACCGCAACCACACCGTGGACACCACGCACTTTCAAACCAGAGGGCATTGATGAAGCGTTGAAGAAGTTCATGGGAACTCTTCAGAACGTCTATAGTTTCTTCGTCATGTACGCCAACCTTGAGCAGATCGATGTCCTGCAAGATGCACCCCCTATTTCGGAACGCGCCACGGTAGACAGGTGGATCTTGTCTCGCCTCCACACCGTCATCGACAAGGTGCGCGACGAGATGGAAAATTATCATCTCACGAATGCCCCGCGCGCGATTGAGGCGTTTGTGGACGATCTCAGCAACTGGTATGTCCGCCGCTCCCGCGATCGCTTCTGGGGCGCGGAAGCCGGACCCGACAAGCATGCCGCCTACGCCACGCTTTATGAGGTACTCGTAACCGTTGCGAAACTCGCTGCACCCTTCGTTCCATTTTTGGCGGATGGACTCTATCGTAACTTGGTGTGTTCGCTGAATACTGAGGCACCCCTAAGTGTTCACCTCGCTGAATATCCAGTTGCAGATGCCGCACTCAAAGACGCGCAATTAGAAGCAGATATGGATTTCACACGCGAAGTCATTAGCATGGGGCACGCCGCGCGCAACCGTTCCGGCATTAAGACACGCCAACCCTTGGCAGAAATCACCCTCGGCGCGCTCTCCGACGTAGAGAAAGCGACCGTGAATCGTTTGGCAGACCTCATACACGATGAGCTCAATGTCAAAGCGATCCTCTTCACAGAGGACTTGAACGCTTTCGCACAGGTGACACTCAAACCCAACTTCAAGGTATTAGGACCCAAATACGGTAAAGGTGTGCAAGCCATCGCCAAAGCACTCGCCTCTGCAGACGCAGTCGCGTTGAAGGCGGAGTTGGAAGCCGCGGAAGTTTGCAAGTTGAAGCGTCGGGAGAGACATACACCCTTGAGTCGTCCGAAGTTGATGTGCAGACCCAGAATCGGGAGGGTTTCTTTGTAGAAGTGGACGCGAATAAATTCATCGCATTGTCAACGAAATTGACGCACGCGTTGACGCTGGAGGGCTTGGCACGCGAGTTCGTCAATAAAATCCAGAATATGCGGAAGGAAGCGGATTTTAACGTCTCCGATCGGATTAAACTCAGTCTCGATACCACTTCTTCGCTTGTAGATGAGGCGTTTCAGGCGCATCAGGACTATATCCTTCGTGAGACTCTTACGACTGCAGTCGTAGACGCTCCGGGTGAAAATGCTTTTACTGTTGCACAAAAACTCAACGGCGAACCCGCAACCTTGAGCGTTGAGCAGGTTTAGTCCCTCCGCCTCTTCGCTGGCGAGGTTTTGCGGCGTACTCGCCCAAATGCAATCTGCATTCCTAACCTCGCCATTGTACACATAAAAGATATCGTGTTTGTTGTTGTGCCGGTGCGGTTCTGAATCGTGCCGGCTTTTTTAATTCATCAGATTTTCGTGCGGTTTTGGATAACCAGACCCGGTAGGTGCGGTTTGTAACCGCACCAAGTATCGAAAAGGAGCGTTCAAACTTCGGATAATCCGATAAATTTTAAAACTATGGTGAATTCTATAGATAAGTAGACACTTCAGTAAGTTGTAGTCCCCAAACGCGTCCATCGTCGCTGGCGAGGTTTCTAACCTCGCCAACGCTAATGTGTATAGGTAATTATAGGCTTTACTATAAAACTATGGTGAATTCTATAAATAAGTAGACACTTCAGTTAGTTGTAGTCCCCAAACGCGTCCGCCGCCGCTGGCGAGGTTTGTAACCTCGTCTCTTTAGAGTGTCTAAGTAATTGTAGGTTTTACCATAAATACTCCAATTGAATAGATTAAAAAACTTGCCTTAAAACCGAATTTTTGCTATAGTACGGTTCAAAATAAATATCTCTAAAACCTGTCTCATAAATACGGATTTCTGTGGCGGGCTCTCCGCGCCTCAGCCCCCAACTCTTTATGGAGTATGAAATTCCAGTTACAGTAATGAAAGGAGATTCCGTTCATGCAAGATTTTTCGTATGTTACCGCGAAAACGGTACCGGAAGCCGTTGCCCTGCTTGATGAAAACGGAGAAAAAGCTCGTATCTTGGCGGGTGGAACCGACCTCATTGTTCAAGTCCGAGAAGCACGTCGCGATGTTGATTTAATGATTGATGTCAAATCCATTCCTGAGGTTAACGTCTTAAATTACGATGATAACGCCGGATTAACGCTCGGTGCCGCAGTCGAATGTTATAAGATTTACGCCGTTGATGCGATCTGTGATGCGTATCCCCGGTTTGATCGATGCAACCAAAATTATTGGTGGCACCGCGATCCAAGGACGCGCTGGTGTTGGTGGTAATCTGTGTAACGCCTCACCCGCTGCGGATTGCATACCACCACTGATTATTTTGAATGCCACCTGTGTTATTGCCGGTCCAAACGGCGACCGTGAACTATCTGTTGAAGAGTTCTGTACCGCTCCGGGGCAAACCGATCTGGCAAAAGGCGAGATGCTCGTCTCTCTGAAGATACCCAGCACCTGCGAGCAATTCCAGTTCCTTCTATCTCCGGTTTATCCCGCGCAATGAGATGGATATCGCTGTCGTTGGTGCCGGAGCATCTGTGACACTTGATGCTGCGAAACAGACAATTGTCTCTGCCCGTATTGCACTCGCTGCTGTCGCACCCACACCGCTCTTTGCTGAAGAAGCAAGCGCGCGACTCGCCGGTCGCGAGGTTTCTGATGCCGCGATTGATGATGCCGCACAAGCCGCACAAGCCATCGCACGCCCGATTAGCGATATGCGTGGGACTGCCGAACAGCGAACACACCTCGTCGGTGTGCTGACTCGGCGCGCACTCAACGGCGCAATCCAGAGAGTTCGAGACGCAGCGTAGATTTTGTTGATTTTTTACATTTTGATTGTACTTTGTGGGAGAACGAAGGTCGTTAGGACTTTGACGCGCGTTCCTTAGATCCGCCTGCACCGTTGTTGCAGGAAACCACAGGTTTTGAACCTTTGTAGCGTAGACTGTTCGTCTGCGTCTTAATCAAAAACCAAGCCCGTAACGAAGTGGAGGGCGACTCTAACACGAAAAGCGTCAGGATGCAAACCACTGACACTTATCCGCAAGGTAAAATTAAAACACGAAAGGAACCATACTATGGCGAGAAAATCGCACGTTCAAACCACTATTAATGGCGAAACAGTAGAATTTCTCTGCGAATCCCGGCAAAGCCTGCTCGAAGTTCTCAGAGATGAACTCCACCTTACAGGTGCTAAAGAGGGATGCAACAACGGAAATTGCGGAGCTTGCAGTGTCATCCTCGACGGCAGACTCGTCAATTCCTGTCTCGTCCTTGGTGTAGAGACTGAAGGTAAATCTGTCGAAACCATAGAAGGTCTCGCGGAACCCGACAAGCTGCACCCTATCCAAGACGCGTTCTTGGAAAACGCCGCACTCCAATGTGGTATTTGCACACCCGGCTTTATTATGAGCACCAAGGCACTATTGGATAGCAACCCGAATCCAACCGAACATGAAATTCGGTACTGGTTAGCGGGTAACCTGTGTCGCTGTACCGGCTATGATAAAATTGTTAGAGCGGTGATAGATGCCGCTAAGGAAACTTCTGCTTAACTTCATACGAACGCAATCTCATGAATCGGAGGTATATGCGTAATGGCTGAAAAAAAAGAATATAAAGTCATTGGCACCCGCCCCATCCGCCATGACGGGGTCGACAAAGTCACCGGTCGCGCACTTTACGGGGCAGATTTTCAAATGACAGGACTCCTGCACGGTAGAGTCCTACGAAGTCCACACGCTCATGCGCGAATTGTATCGATTGACACCAGTCGTGCCGAAGCCTACCCCGGCGTTAAAGGCGTTGTCACTGCCCAAGACTTGCCTGAGGCTGAGGACAAAATCGCGGATCTCGGCGAAGGTGCGGTCAATCTCAAATATCTTTGCGATAACATCTTCGCAAGCGATAAGGCTTTGTACAAAGGGCATGCTGTTGCCGCTGTTGCCGCAACAAGTCCACACATCGCAGAGGAAGCTTGCACACTCATTGATGTCGAATACGAAGTGCTGCCACCTGTCTTAGAGGTACGCCAAGCAATGGAGTCGGATGCACCGCTCCTACACGAAAGCCTAAAAACTACCTCAATGGGTGAAACCGCTGACGAACCGAGCAATGTGGCAAGCCATATCCAACACAAACTCGGTGATCCCGAGAAAGGGTTTGCCGAAGCGGATGTCGTCATTGAACGTGACTTCGTTACAGGCACCGTCCATCAAGGTTATATTGAACCCCACAACGCCACGGCACATTACAGTCAAGATGGCCAGTTGACCATTTGGTGTAGCACGCAGGGGGCGTTTACTGTTCGTGAACAGGTCGCCGAAATTCTCCAATACCCCGTTTCCAAAATTAAAGTTGTTCCGATGGAAATTGGTGGTGGTTTTGGCGGCAAGATTAGCGTTTACATTAAACCTGTCGCCGCGTTGCTGGCAAAGAAAACGGGTAAGCCGGTCAAGGTCCTCATGAACCGCACTGAGGTGTTTGAAGGTACAGGACCGACACCTGCCTCCTACGTCCGTGTCAAGATGGGGGCTACCAAAGATGGAAAGATAACTGCCGCTGAGGCATACCTCGCTTTTGAGGCAGGCGCATACCCCGGTTCTCCTGTTGGGCCTGGTGCGATGTGCATCTTTTCACCCTACAACATTGAAAACGTCGTTATTGATGGCTACGATGTCGTTGTCAATAAACCGAAAACCGCGCCCTACCGCGCCCCCGGGGCACCAAACGCCGCTTTCGGTTCAGAGACAATTCTGGACGAGATCGCGGAAAAACTGGACATCGATCCACTTGAAATCCGGTTGCTCAACGGCGCGAAAGAGGGCGACCGACGCGCAGACGGACCCATTCACCCCCGCATCGGCTGTATTGAAACGCTCGAAGCGGTGAAATCCCATCCGCACTATACAGCACCGAATGGGAAAGAAACATCACGGTCGCGGGATCGCTTCCGGGTACTGGTTCAATATTGGCTTGGAGTCCAGCGTGACGATTAATGTCAACTCCGATGGCACAATTAACCTTATTGAAGGTTCCACAGACATCGGTGGCTCGCGCGCTTCAATCGCTATGCAGGCGGCAGAAGTCCTCGGCATTCCTGCCGAATCGGTCAATCCAAGCGTTGTTGATACCAATTCTGTCGGTTACACTGCTGTAACCGGGGGTAGCCGCACAACTTACGCAACTGGCTACGCCGCTTATGAAGCCGCACAAGATGTCAAGCGGCAGATGATTGAACGTGCCGCGAAACTCTGGGAAGTTGACGAAGACAACGTGCAGTTTGCAGATGGTGAATTCTCAAGTATCAACGGCAAAGAAGAGCAGATTAGTTTCCGCGACCTATGTGCTCGGTTTGGCGAAACTGGTGGTCCGATTGTCGGCAGCGGGACAGTGAATCCCGGTGGTGCCGGTGGTGCCTACGCAACTCACGTGGTAGATGTGGCAGTGGACGAGGAGACCGGCAAGGTCGAGATCCTCCGCTATACCGCAGTCCAGGATGCAGGAAAAGCCATCCATCCGAGCTACGTTGAGGGACAAATACAGGGTGGTGTTGTTCAAGGTATCGGTTGGGCGTTGAATGAGGAATACATCTACAATGATGAAGGCGCGATGACGAACGCCAGTTTCCTCGATTACCGGATGCCAACCTGCTTAGATTTACCTATGATTGATGCTGTCATCGTTGAAGTCCCGAATCCGGGGCATCCGTATGGTGTACGTGGGGTCGGTGAAGTGCCGATTGTGCCGCCGCTTGCTGCCATCGCCAATGCTATCTACGATGCAATCGGTGTTCGGATGACAGAGCTCCCGATGTCGCCCGACAGGCTGTTGAAAGCCATGGGAAAAATCTAATTCATTGCGAATTCCATAGGGCGAGGCTTCATGCTTCGCCCTATTGTATCGGCTGTATCGGCGGTTATTGAGACTGCAGATGTAAAAAAATGCCAACCGTAGTTATTCCACCCCTCATGCGTAATTTCACAGGCGGCGAAGGGAGCATTACTCTCCCTGGCGCGACTGTCCGTGAAGTGATTGATAATTTAGAAAGTCGCTACCCGGGTATGAAAGAACGGTTATGTGAAAAAGACCGTCTTAAGCCCGGCATCGCCGTATACATCAATGGTCTCCTCACCCGAGGATCCATCCTCGAACGCGTTGACACAGACGCAGAAATTCATTTCCTCCCTGCCATCGGTGGTGGTGTTGCAGAACCATCACACTAAAACTCTACAGCATTTTGAAACATTTTGACGGGACCAGTGTGTTTTCTTATAGTAAAGCCCGAAAATATGTGAACAGTTAGTCAGTGAACAACGCCCCACCGCCGCTGGCGAGGATTGTATCCTCGCCTCTTTAGAGCGTCCAAGTAATTATAGGCTTTACTATAATATACAACGTGAACTCGATTTAAGGACTCAGGGAAACCGACACAGGGCATTACACCTACCAAATATTTGATAATCGGAGCCTCCGCACTCCAGAGGAGTGCTATGTCTATAGAAAATACGACATCTAAACTCTTGCACTCCAGAGGAGTGCTATGTGTCGTAAAACCATATATCGCACCTACGGAGCGGGAACGTTGCGTCGGATGGCTGCTATAGACATGTTGCTCCTCTGGAGCAAAGTCTCGGTTTTGGTTGTTGTGTTGGATGACATGCGTTCAACTCGGTGTCCGGTGGACATATTGGAATTGCCAAGATGCTCCGAATTTTTGCCTGTCTTATATCGAACTCACGTTGTATACAACTACAATATGTCGCCGCGTATCCCAAAAATGGCAGATGCGGTTTCCTAACTGCCACAAAAAGTAGGTACAGTTTCCTAATCCCACTCCCACAAACGGTAGGTCCGGTTTCCTAACCGCACCGAGCCTGACAATAAAATCGAAAATTATCTAAAAACTGTAGTCTTTCCAAAAGAACAGCTGCTGGAGATCAACCCCTTTGAAAGGAGATGTTATGTTCAGACCTATCAAGCTTAAGGTTCTTGGAGGCGCGTGTGTAGGTGTCGTCCTCCTCTGCGCTGGAATCTATTACTATGTACAATGGGATAACAAACGGTTTATGGCAGAGATCGGGGAACCGCCCCGGTCTACCACTGCATCTGAACCCGCTGCAGAAACCCAAAACGATGAGACACAGTCTGTTGAGCAAACTACGTTTATTGAACCCGTAGAATTTGTAAGTGATAATGGTGTTGTGCCGGAATCGGAGCCTGTGGAAGAACCCGAGCCAATGGATGAGGAAGCGTCGGTACCACAGACAGACCCATCTGAGATAACGTCCGAGACGATACCGGAATTTGACCCGACCCCGCTACTTTCGGCGTTCGGGTTACCTGAAGAAGTTACCTCTCTCTTTGATGAAGAAGTTGAGGCGGAGGACTTTGAAGTGGCGGAGACACATCTTGTCGAGGCGTTCGGTCAATCCCCCGAAGTTGAGGAGATAGTTGACAAACTCAAACAGATGTCCGGTGGTCCAGTCGAACTTAGCGATTTAACTGAACTTTTTGAGGCATGGATACGGGTTTTGCCTGAGGAAGACCAAGGGAATCGTCGGCAGTTAATGAATGTACTTACACAACTCAATCAAATAGGGATGGCCGGAGGTAATGCGCCAGTAGGCATAGAGATTCGTGTTATTGACGGTAATGCTTTAGGCGATTGATTTAGATGTGCTGTAGTTGTGGTTCCGTTTTAGGGTCATTCAAACCAGAAAGGAGAAATTATTATGAAATCAGGAGAAATGAGATTCAGCATCTTTACGTTCTTTTTATTCATACTCATCTCAGTATACGCGCCGCTTTGTGTTGGTGAAGTGCTGTTCGAGGATGACTTTGAGAAAAAAGAAATTGACAAGGGTAAATGGGTACCTACGGGAGCCTGGGGCTTGGATGGCGGGACACTGGAAGTTAACGGCGGAGAAGTTGGGATTACTCTCGGAGATGACTTCACTGACTTTGAGTTCTATGTCGACTTTCATATGATAAACCCGCTATGGGCAGCGAATTGGGTCGTGCGTGCTGAAGACCCGAACAATTGCACGTTGGTTCAAGTTGTCGCAGATAATCGTAATCAATTTTGGTGGTTTACAAGAGTCGGCGGTAACTATATCGTTAATGATGAGGATAAGTTGGACAATGAATCGGGTCTGCACCCTGAACTTGGCGAATGGTATACGATAAAGATCGTTGCCGAAGGTGAGCGTTACGACCTCTACTTGGGTGAACAGGGTAAGGAACTGGAGTTATCTTGCACGTGGAAAGATAATACCCATAACAAGGGCGGCATAGGTTTCAGAGCAGGCGGCGGTGAACATTCCCTGTATGACAATGTGTTAGTTACAACCGTGGGGCACAGTTTTGCCGTGAATCCGGCTGATGCCCTGCCCGTCACATGGGGAAAACTCAAAACGATACGATAAATTGAGAGGGAACAATTCTAATGCGCGCTGAATCGCCATTCATAGACTGCACAGACTTTCTCGGAGACCGAGCTCGACTTCTCGATCACAGCCGCCAAAATGGATATCTCTTCTTTCCCGGACTTCTTCCAACAGAGCCGGTGCTTGAACTGCGTCAACAGGTACTCCGTGTGGCAGATCAGCACGAGCTCCTTGAACCAGACACCCATCCCGATGCTGCTATCCGCAGAAAGGGTGTCTTCATCTGCGAGCAGGATGGATCCGAGACTTTCAGACGCTTCTACATTGACGTTCAGAAACTCCGACTTTTCCACGCGCTTCCGCATCACGAGCATATCGTACGTGTTCTGGAAACACTGTTCGGCGATTCGGTTTTCGTCCACCCCCGTCACATCTGTCACGTCATCTTCCCCGGAGAACATCAGTATACCACGCCTCCGCATCAGGACTTCCACCCGGTTCGCGGCGCGCGGGATACATGGACAGTGTGGACACCGCTGGGAGACTGTGATGCCGAGTTGGGCGGACTGGCGATAGCACGCGGATCGAACCGTCACGGGTTCCTAAAGGACGACGGTGTCCGTTCGTGGAACTTGATCGAAGACAGTACGGAATGGGCTTGGAATCCCTTTCAGTGCGGAGATGTCCTCATGTTTCACAGCTTAACGATTCACCGGGGCCGGGACAACATGACCGAGGATCGCATACGGCTCGCAACGAGTGCCCGTTACCAGTCGGTCAATGAACCCGTTGATGAAGACGCTCTCACCGTTCACCTGGGCTGTGCGAAATGGGAAGAACTCTATTCAGAGTGGGAAACGGACGATTCACTCCAGTATTACTGGAACTCGATCGATATGACTGTCCAGCCAGCTTACCATCGCCGTAGGAGAAAACCCGCTAACGGATAGATACATGATATAGACAAATACTACTCCTCGCGTATCAATGCCAATTCGCAATAGAACCAGACCCCGAGCATGTCGGGGTTCTTCGCTAAAATTGTTAGGTGCAAAAATGGAAAAAGAGAACCAGGAATTATCTAAGACTGAAGTTGAAGCCCTACAACCCATTCCCGATGGATTGGTTGTCCTCACCTTTGATGACGGTAACAAATCAGATTATACTTATGTTGGACCTCTATTGAAGCATTACGGTTTTGGGGCGACATTTTTCATCACTGAAGGTCTAAATTTCCTCAACAGCAAGGCGCACTATGTCACATGGGAAGAGATCCGTCAATTGCACGAGGAGGGTTTTGAGATAGGCAACCACACCCGTCATCATAAGCATGCCAACACACAATCGAAAGAGGAATTACTGGCAGACTTGATACACATTGATGAACGGTGCGAAGAATACGGTATCCCTGTTCCTGAGACCTTTGGCTATCCGGCGGATTGTCGCGGACCGGAAGCGATAGAAGCGTTGTCAGAAAAAGGGTATCGTTTCGCGCGGCGTGGCATTGGACCGGAGTTTCCGTATCATCCAGAAGGCGGACGTGGACCGGTTTACGATCCGAGTGTCCATCACCCTTTGGTCGTTCCGTCAACGGGTGTCCCTGGTCCGAACTACGGATTCGAGGATTTGGTATGGGCGGTTGAACAGGCACAGGACGGGAAAATCGCCGTCCTCACGTTTCATGGTGTGCCTGCACTTGAACACCCGTGGGTTGATGTCTCACCTGAACTGTTTAAGACATACATGGATTATCTTCGGGACAACGGTTGTACTGTTGTTGCGTTGCGCGATTTAATAAAAATACGTTGATGCATCGGAGACAATTGGGAAAAGCGTAACATATTGGTAGGTATATGGAACACACGATGCGCGTAAAAAGCACGAAATCGCGTAAAAAATTAGGAAAAATGCCGAAGATCCCTAAAAGAGACTTTTTTATGGAAAAAAAGTGATGAAATTGTTATAAAAACGGGATTTTGGGGCAAAACCATGCTTTTTTTTTACAATTTCATTTGACAAACCTGTTTTTGCAGTGTATAATTAACATTACCTTTTGAAAGAAAGGTGAATTGTTCTTTGAAAGTTAAATAGTGAACGTGACGTGCCTATTTTAAATTAATAGCTTGTGAGTACACTTCAATTT